AACTATGCATAACTGCACACTTTTTGCAACATAGCAGTAATGTTTAAGTTATTTTTATAGTAGCAAAGATACAGCATCACTAAATGGGGGAGGAGAAATCACAGTAGTTCAAGCACTGATTTATCCTATGCCTCATGCTGCTGAATGAAAAACATCAAGTTCTCCCTAAAAGTAGCTTTTAACTACTTTTTTGTAAATAGTTATTCTAAAAATTGTAAAAATAATGCTAACTACTTTTTGGCAGTCTTGGGACAATAATGGTAACTACTTTCTACAATTCAAAAAAAGCTGTTAAGTCTGGAAAATCAATATGCAAAGGGATCTTGCAGCATCTTTGACACTTAACTGAAAGAAAGATTGTAGCATGAACTTTCGTAGACTTGAGCCTACTTCCTCACATGCAAGTAGATACATACAGAACATACTTTCTACAAGTACAGTGATTTTTGGAGTTCTGGTTAAGATAGAGAAGGAAAACAAGGTGCTCTAGATGATGTTGGACTGCAACTCCCATTATCCTTTACCAATGATTAGGTCCAACATGCGGAGGGACATGTGGTCCCTATCCTTCTCCCTGTACGAAGGTATGTATCAAAGACTGTTCCATATATCATCACCTGTAATAGACCCTTTCAAGTGATGGCAACCAAGTTGTGGCATGTAATCCAGCATGTATGGGTGGTATCAACTCTTTATCTTTTTAAACATCAACTGAAAACATTTCTGTTCTGGGCTTTTAATAGAACTTTCAATTCTCTTCACTTTTATTGCTGATTTTTATTTTATTCTGCCAGTGCTGATTTCATAGGCTGTGTTACTACTATGGCTGTCATTGTTTTAATTCCTTTATCATACATAGGTCCTTTAGAAACCTCAGCTGAATGGCAGAATTGTTAAACCGAAGTAACTCACATATTTAATCAGAAGTAAGGTCCACTCAGAACCATGGGATCCTACACAATTATTGCACTGTTTACATTCAAGGGAATCCTGGGATTTGTGAGGCACTAGAGTGCTCTGGCTGAGAATTTGAAATACTCCTCCCTAAACATAAATCTCTGGATTCCATAGGATTGAGCCTTGGCAGTTAAATAGCATTATAATTCTGTAATATAAAGGAGTCCTTTTTCCAAAGTATGTATGTGTACAGTTGGAGCAAAATAATTGCAAATAGCAATGTAGCTTTAACACTGTGTGTTTGCATCTTCCAAGCCTCCTGTCCCAGCACCCATAAAGGAGCTGTAAGGGCTGTGGATTTTCATACCATGATCTGCTGCAGGCTTAAGCACCATGGAAAAACTCAGTTTTGTAGCAGCATACTGTTTAACCTTTATTTGGTACAGAATATTCTTGGTCAACAAATTCTCAGGGAATTCAAAATCTCACTTGATATCCTTGGATGCTGGCAGGTCTTCCTTCCAGCAATAGCAGAAATCAGAGTGCTTACAAAATGGAGACATTAAAGCAATGTCTTAAAATGGCTGCCTCTTGTGGGAAAATAATCTGGATAGGCCAAATGTTTGAAGACTCTTTTCTTTCTCTCTCTCTCTCTCTTTTTCCCTTCCTTTAGCTCTGAGTAGAAGCAGGGCAGGTTTTTCTTAATGGAAGATTCCTTACTTGCTTCAAAGTAGCCAATTTTTATTTTATTCTGTAGTATTTTCTTTTGGTGCAAAATTACCTCAGATGAAGAATGGCAACGCCACAGGAAAGGACATATAAATTACATATGCATATGCATATACACATTCTCATAAATGTGTCTCTGTATATACATATATAAATACGTATGCACACACGCATATATATATATATATATATATATATATATATATATATATATATATATATATATATATATATATATATATATCACACACACACACAAACACTCAGCTGAAGCTTCTGGAAGAAAAGTGAAGTGGAGATTACATATACCGGTATGTATGTGTATATACACACATGTGAGAGCCAGTGTGGTGGTGTGTTTTGAGTGTTGAAGTAGGACGAGAGCAGGGTTCAAATCCCGGCTTGACCAAGGAAACCTTTGGCAATGGGCAAGTTACAGGTTAGATTCAGACAGAAAGTGAGTGGCTCACATTCAAACACTGTGCTTCCTTAGAAAACAGTCAACATAATAAAATATATTGGAGCTGCCAAAGGTTGTTTCTGCTGTCTGGCTTTGCACCTGCCTCTGAAATTTTTGCATCTACCATTGCAGGTTGTGTATGCCTAGAGGCATTTCTTGTTAACTGCCATTAAGTCAACGTTGGCCTTAAGATGGAAATTTTAAGACGGCTTCTGTGCGGTTTGGGGGCATGGCGTTTAGATGATGCATGCTCTC